TAATTGTAGTGTGAATAATAATTACAAGATGCTTACGTCTCAAAAAACACAATTATTTTTTTCTTTTAGGTTTTTTCATTGTATTGTTTCTAATAACAAATTTGTATCGTAATTTTTTTATTCGTAAGATGTTTCCAATGATTCATCTCAATAGCCTGACAGGTATAATTTAAATACTTGTTCCAATCATGGTCACTCAACATTTCGGCCATCATGAATCAGATCAAGAAACAAATGGACGTGTATGTGTATCCCAAAATGTAATATACTAGTATATGTGAATTATGTATGTAACCAGGCATGATTGAAATAGAAAAGGACAAGCAAATTGTTGTGACTGTGATACAATAAACCCAGAATATGAAGTGATGACAAATTGACAAACAGCATTGCAGTACTTTTTTATGCATACTTTTCTTTCAATTGCACAGAAATGATACCATTACTAATGACAGTATAGTAATTTTTGCTGAAGAGACATTTTGGCTGTTTTGTATGAACTGTATTTGAATGTAAAATATAAGAAAAAGGATATCTTCACTGGATTTTATTTTCATTTACTCATCCTTTCAGGGAAAATGAATTCCAGGCAAAAACAAAAATTATTTTACAATATTAACAAATGTAAAAGTTTTAAAAGCACTAGAAATTTATGACAAAGAGCAGATACAATTTAGGGGTTCTCAAACTTGTTCCCATGGAAACACTGACTTTGCGCCTTCTCTGTACCATTTACACCTTATATTGTTCGGCCATTTTGAAGTGATAAATAAACAAAATACATACAATTGAAGTTCGACATTCAAAAACGAGTTTGGGTATCCCATGTTTGTTCTTCAGAATTTTAAACAGTTAATGAAAAAATCAAAGAAAGCTTAGAAAGAACTCCCGTGTGCTGAGAGTATTGAAGACACATTAAAAATTAATTCAAAATTACTTGTACATGAGATATTGATAGAAAAGCTGAAAACTAATTATGTACATCAGGTAACTAATATGAACAGAACAGAACAAAAAAATTATGAATTATTATGTTAATTAGAGAATTAATATGAACAAATTTTAACCCAAAATTAATCAGGCCTGTCTATTGTTCTAGAGCATTTATGTACCAAATTTTATTCAAATGTGATGATCAGTAATTGAGATATCAGTGTTAATTAATTATGTTAATTAGGAGATTAATAAGCATAAATATTTATCAAAACTAATTGGGTTTT